ATAAAGCTTACACAGTTCTTAAGTCATTTCTTACATCACTTTCCATGCAACATCAGAGTATAATATTTATTGTTTATAACAGTGAAATATAACCATGCTATCAGAGTTTTAGCGGAAATAAAATCATTTAACGACAAGTTAAACATTAACATGATGATCTGCTATATACATCATAACAAGCTATAAGTTTTCCATTGTAAAACATTTTGGGTGAAAGTTTCAAATAAACGCTATGTCCGCAACGTTAAGGAAATCCTCGCTGAGCCCACCAAGAGGTTTCCACACATAAGTGTCAGCTCCACATGTTCTTATCACCTGCAATAGGGTATAACAAATCCTGAGTACTCAATTGTACTCCGCAAGACTTACCCGTTAGGGGGAAGAAAAGACTCCAAGGGTATGCAAGGTCACCTGCAACAGGGTATAACAAACCCTGAGTACTCAATTGTACTTCGCAAGACTTACCCGTCAGGGAGGAGAAAAGACTCTAAGGGTATACAAGGTTATCTGGCTTGTGGGTTATTGCATCTGCAGGAAGCATTACTAAACGTGCATCCTTATATTCAATTTTATTAGCAGTTATCATTAGTTTATTAACTAACCATTCTATGTAAGCACCTGTGCTACTTTCAAACATGTGGTAAGTAATCAGGACCATTTTACCATCTTTTATCTTCTAGTTCTTACTACGGTGCCAGATTGTAGACAAGTCGTACCGGATTACCCGGTGATTCACGAATCAATGTGCCCAGCTGGGTACCCCGAAACACACGCCCCGCTTGTACCCCAGGCACAAGCAGGACCAACCCATTGCTCTCCTGTCAAGGGGTCTAGGTCCCCGTCCAAACTTGGATTCCAAGCCCTCACACCTAAGTCCCGAACTTAGTGTGGTGCTTAGACCTCCACCATCCCCGCCTCCAATCAGTCAGTCTGGAAAGAGCCGAAACCCACGATAAGAGAGCAACGAGCCTTCCCTGCTCCCATAAACAAGTATGTGCTCAGGATAATAAGTCTGTGACCTGACTAGAATCCAATACAACGGCCGGTCCTTAACCGACACGGACAGAGAAAATAGTGTAACCAAGCTATGCCCCGTTAGCCACGGAACACAACCCCTTACAACCATCAATACCCATATCATATCCCTGCCCGGTCTTCATTTTCTTTCACCATTTTACCATAAGAGTGATAATAATAATCATCTATTATGGGTAACAACAAGTTACTCACGCTACCAAAAATCCTAAGCATAGCAGCTACTCGACCTATGCTAGTAGGACTCATAGGTAGGTATATCTATGCATGTAGTTTCCATAAAATGCATGTAACGTAATATATATATATAATATATATATCCAATGATCATTCAAAATAAGGGTTATGCACCGGGGCTTGACTAGGTAAAATATAACCAAGTTAGCTGTTCATCATGGTGGCATGATATCAAGTCACCATCTGCTTCCTCAACTCCAGATGCCTTCAGAATCCATCGTTGTTCCTATTATTATATCTGTGGATACAACGTGGAAACGTAAATACTCATGACAATCGCAACTCCAAAATACAATTACACTGCTAAGGTAACGAGCTAACTCTAATGTCTAACGTACCAGACTACGTACCCACGCTGTCGGACGAGGCAATAATTCTCAATGAGTATTTCAGCTACGAAATCCCCAGGCATATCCTTAATTCATTTTATTGATTCAATATATTTTCAAACCAAGGCGCAATAGGTATTCTAGCAAACTAATTATTATATAGCTGCAAAAATTGCAGAAAGCACATAATAATATTGTGAAGCTACTGTAAAATTTTCAAAGCTAACACTATCATGATTTTGCCACAAAATTTCCTACAAGCTCACACTTTAATAATTTTAGAGCATGTTAAATCTTTAAAGCAGCCGCGAAATATTTTAGAACCCTGTGAACCAACTACACTAGCAGATAGATCATGATTTTAGAAACTTAACAAAATTAGTTTCACAATTTTTGGTTTCCTGCAAAGTTTTATTTTGAATTTACAAATTTGCCTTTAGCAATTAAATCGGAAAGTGCTTTGGAAAAGAAAAGGGCCCAGCAACGGGGACGCGGGCACGCACTGCAGCAGGCCCAGCAACGGCCCAAGACGGGGGAGCCCGCGCGCGCGTGGCCGTTTTGCAAAAGAGGATTTGTGCTCTTAGGAAATCGAACGACACAGGGTGGTACTATTTTACTAGACTAGAGTTATGCACAAAACATCCCAACAAGGATCGCCCTTCGCAATGGGGCGGTCCCTAGCACGCCCACGCGCGGCAGCGCGGCACTCCGACGGCAGTAGCGGCTGCGTCGGCCACGCTAGACCTATCACGACCACCATAGCGGGTCGATCACCATCTATGACTTCATCCGTAGGGATAGGTGGTGGTTAGGGGCTCTGGGATGCACTAACGTGAGCTGCAATGGCAAGCAGTACTCCGCCGCGGCGGCGTGGCCGTTCCTACGAGCCTACGTACTCCCGGAAGAGTAGAGATGGCGGAGAGGCATCAGCGGCTCGCCAGAATTCATGACGCGGTGGTGGTTGAGGCGGAGGGGTGCCGAGGTGGCCTGGCCACGTGTGCGCAGCGAGGCCGGCGGCGCTCCAGGCGTGGCACCGTTGTGTCATGGCACCAGTGGTGAGCACCCTGGCCCAAACCGCGCGAGCATCAGCTGTAGGGAGTCGACATGAGCTCAGAGCCACGAGCAATTGAACTATTACCGCTGCAATCCTACCTTTCTTTCCTGTTCCTGGTCACGGCGGCGACATGGCCCGCGGCGAGCAGAACCTCGGATTTATGCAATGGAGGGCATCTAAGGTAACTGGCGCGGTCGGAACGGCTAGCTGGTTATGAGTCCTTGTTACAATGGCGCTAAATTGAGCTGGGATGCCACAGTCCGCGCATTATAATTCGGGAAGCGGCGCGGCTGCCGGTGCCCGGACAGAGCCATTAAGGCGTGCCCACGTGTGGCCACACGCACACAGCAACGCGACGTCGAGATGCAGCAGGCTACGCGATGGCGTCGAGCTTGGCTTGGTAGGTGGTTCGAGCGGTGAGACGGGCACCACGTCGGTCCAGCGGCTGAGCGGCCATGACTTGGCCCGTGCGCGGCTTGGCCAACAGCGTGCACGCGACGGCAGCCTGGCAGCGCAGTCGGCCCGCGGTGGCGGCTGAGGCCACCCCATCCTGACGCGTGGCCGGCAGCCCGCAAGTCCAACCATGGCTTGACCATGGCCAAGAAAGGGCCAGAACGGCAGTGCGCGCAGTGACCGCAGACACGGGCTGCGCCAGAACGAGCGGTGATGTGCACGGTTTTTAAAACGATACAAAAGCTGCTGATCAACTCAACTCGGGTTCAACCGGTTCCACTAACCTAAAGTCGGTACTAACACCTAGCTGGCGAAACAAACCTCACGTCCTAAGAGCGACTAGAGAGTGAGATAGGGAGGTGCCAACATGAGTTCGTCACGCGGAACGACGGTTCATGAACCAGGCACCGAACCATAGTTCGCAGCGCGTTCCAACGTAGTTCGGAGAATTTTTGTGCGAGCAACGAACCACCCAACACCACAACTACTTATACCAAGCCCTTGCACTCACCTTGGTGCAACCAACGATGTCAAAATATGAAGCCATCGCTTAAGCATTTTTGTTAAAATTTAAATGACAACATAGCATTGTCCATTATCATTTCGGACTTAACGAATTCGATGTTCGATTAGAACTAACCTTCCCCAACACTTTTGGTTGAATTTTTAAACGGTCTAAGCCTCGTCAATTTCAACTAGACAACATGTCATGACCCAGCTCATACTTCATGCTAACTCATAGAAACAAAACATCTAAGAATTATTTAACCCATTTGTTCAATATAATTCGTCAAAGAATGATACTTTTAACATAAACTCAAGTATTAGTTAACAACGAAAATGACCCTCCTTAATTCCAAGTTTGATTTCTGAACTCCCAAAATACTAACTAATAGTATTTATTCTCCCAAAATGAATGTTACATTTCCACCTACTTCACTTGCACTCTAAACTTTATTTAAGCGCATTTGATTTTTGTTTATAAAAATAGTTTTTCATGCCCAACAATTAAAGCTACGTATCATATTTTTCTTATTAGGATTTTCACTAACAGTTTTACGCACTAAATAAATTACTTAGGTTTTTATTTGATCCCTCTCAACTAGAAGATAAATCACATAAGAGTTGTTCATCATTTCGTGAGAGTTTAAATCTTAAAAACCGAGGAACTTCTTTTGGTAATTTTTCTTAGGCCCAAATCTCGGTGCTTAGAGAGCTCGTAACATCAGAGGTGTTACATTTGATGACGACATGGTTTAGCTGATCCTTGCTGAATATCTCGGCATTCCTTTGATGAACTTAGACCTCGGGTTCTCTTCTTCTTGAACCAAATTTTGGTGTTAACAAAAAGTACATTTCATGCTCAATCTAATGATATTTATTATACAAGATAAATTTTAGTATATTTTTAATATATTTAGTCAAACTTTTAAAAAATAACTTCTCGGAGACATGCATTTATTTTTGGACGGACCGAGTAGTTTCTGAACCTTGGTCAGGGAATACTCCGTACGTCGTCGTAGTCATACGCCGTCTCGTTTACTACTCGTAGCATGATCAAAGGGTGTGTTTTTTTTTCTTAGTTTTCTCTCTTTTTTTATTTTTTGTACGGGAGGTAAATCATCAGGTGTGGGAAAACCATACTATGCTGAATGGAATGGACAGCCCGCCTACTAAAGACTGATGATGACGAAACAGACGTATGACGCAGTAAAGTCAACTGGTTCCATCCATTGAATCCCTATCCAACGGTCGAGGTAGGCCAAATTCTTGAGTGCCACATAACCCCAAACCGTCATCTATCCAGAATTCCAGATAAGGCGCGCGCGCCACGGCTGCCGTGCAAACCGTCCCGAAGGAAAAGCCTTCGCCTCCGCGTGGCCACCGCACCGATGGACACCGCCGCCGCCTCATGGCGCCTCCTCTCCCCGGCCTCCTCCTCCCTGCCTCCCTGCCCGCAGAAGCTACCCAAGCGGCAAGCGACCTTCGCGGCCTCGCCACTACAGGCGCAGCAGTCGGCCAGCTCCAGCGCCAAGTTCAGGCTCCTCTGCCTCCTCCATGACAAGGTCCATCCATAGCTAGCAATCCTGGTTTGGTTGCTACCTCTCACCCCCACCGATCTCGCCTACTGCAATTCCTGCCGTCCGCGGTGTCTGATCGTCCATGCTCTTGGTTTTGTTTCCTGTTTGCTTCTGGGACGACGAACGCGCAGTCAGCGGCGCCGACGACGTCGGTGCAGCAGAGCTCGTCGCAGCTGCAGAGGCTGGCGGCGGTGTTGCAGTGCGGCGCCGTCTGGGCAGCTGTACGTACAACGAGTCTCTCGCTCAATTCCACACGACCCTGCAGCTTGATTGGGTACCACGAGCATATCGAACGTGACATCGCAAATGCTGTATGCCTGTATGTAGGTTGAGGCACCGGCGGCGCTGGCGACGGTGACCGGGGAGGAGGACCTCGACCTCCTAGGGATCCTGCCGCCGATCGCGGCGTTCGCCGTCTTCTACTTATTCGTCGCCCCTGTGCGTCAGCTACTCAGCTCTTGGTTTCCTCTCAAAGCGACTTCATTTGGACTGCATGCCCCTGAGTGAGTAACAAGTGTGCATATCTGTGTGTGTGTGCGCGCGCGCAGCCGCTGCTCATGAACTGGATGAGGCTGAGGTGGTACAAGCGCGAATTCGTGGAGACGTACCTGCAGTTCATGTTCACCTACCTCTTCTTCCCAGGGTGAGTGTACTTGCTGCGGCGTCGTAGACGTAATCCGTTTAGGATCCGTACCTGGGAACAATCCATCTAGCGTGACACTTTTACAGTTTCAAATACTACTAGTAGTATATAAAACATAGGAGCATGTTCCAATGTTACAGGATGTGTCCAATGTCAGGATCAGTAGAAAGCAAACACCCTGGATCCAGCCACAGGCATCTAAAAAGTGTTGATTTTGGATTACTGCAGAATGGCACTAACTATTCTAGTGCTACTAGTCCTGTAGATTGTAGATGCTCTTGTTAGATTTCAGCTGAGGTACATTCATCGGATCGGGTGGTCTTTGTTGTAGGAATAGATGTTCGGGTTTCACAGAGAGAGAAGATAGGTTGCAAACCATCGAATGCCGTAGTTGTTGAAGCTCCGGCCGGGGTTTCGTTGACGGACGCCATCTGCGCGCCGGCAGCGACGGTCGGTGGAGAGGGAGTGGCGCTGTGGCGTCCTCGGCGGCGGCGTGAGCGTCGGGTGGCGTTGCCGGCGTCGGTGGTACTTCCCGTCGCTGGCAGCGCCCCTACTTTCGATCGGGTCTTGGGTTTGGATGTCGGTGGGGTGACTGGCGGCGCGGTGAACCTCGTACCGCGAGCCCCGGCCCCCACCTTTCCTTTATAGCGCTGTGCGACGGGGGTCCACCAACCATGTAGGGTTGGGCGCCCCCGATCAGGGCGCGAGGACAAGGCCCAGTTAGGCCGGTGGGAGATCAATCCTAACATTCTCCCCCTTGATCTCTCATCTATTCTTCGTTCTTTAATTTCATATTCAAAACTTTCAATTCATATTTTTCTTGCTTCCATCCTATTTCATCACAGATTAGTGCATAGAACTGTCCCATCGTCACAGCAATTAGTGCCGTTAGACTAACAGCCACAATACGCTTCTCCGTTTTGAAATGTAAACTTTCTTTGGGCCCTTCGTATGTTCGGGAATCATAGGCTTTCCCTTAAACCCATGCCGGCTACGTGTTCTCTGAACACGTTGGGTGGTAAGCCCTTTGTGAGCGGATCCGCGAGCATTTTCTCTGTACTTATATGCTCAAGATTTATTATATGATCCCAAACTTTATCTTTCACAACATAGTACTTTATGTCAATGTGTTTGGCAACACCACTTGACCTATTGTTGTGAGCATATTGTACCGCTGGGTTGTTATCACAATACAACCTCAGTGGTTCTTTTATATTATCAATCACTTTCAATCCGGGTATGAATTTCTTCAGCCAATTCACCTGCCCCGTTGCCTCATAGCATGCTACAAACTCGGCATACATTGTCGAGGATGCAGTTATGGTTTGTTTGGAGCTTTTCCACGATATAGCCCCTCCTGCGAGAGTAAATACATATCCTGACGTGGATTTTCTTTCATCTCCCGCATAATCAGAATCTGAATACCCCTCTATCTGCAGGGTATCGAGATCTTCTATCACGTAAGCATGAGGCCTTTCGTACCACTCGCAAATAACGCAGGACTTTCTTCACTAATTTCAATGTTCAATTCTGGATTCTTTTGATATCCGCCAAGTAACCCAGTAACAAAAGCTAAGTCGTATGCGTGTACACACTTGAGCATATTGTAAACTTCCAACAATTTGAAGCATACGGTACCGCTTTCATTCGGTCAATTTCATATTGGTTCTTGGGACACCGATGTTCCCCAAATCTATCGCCCTTGACTATAGGAGCGGTGAAGGGACTGCATGCATGCATACTAAATTTCTTGAGACCTTTTCTATGTATGCCTTTTACGATAATCCTAGAACCCTTTTTCTCCGTCTCGGTGAATCTCTATTCCCAAAACGAACGAGGCCTCACCAAGATCTTTCATATCAAAGTTTGAGGACAAGAATTTCTTTGTTTCCATTAGTAGATTGATATCACTGCTAGCAAGCAAGATATCATCCACATACAAAATTAGGAATATGTACTTTCCATTCCTGAACTTTGCATAAACGCAATTGTCCTCAACATTTTCTTCAAACCCAAAACCTTTTATCGTTCTATCAAACTTCAAATACCACTGTCTTGAAGCTTGCTTCAATCCGTAGATTGATTTCTTCAGGCAGCATCCCATATTTTCCTTTCCTTTTACGACAAAACCTTTCGGTTGTGCCATATAAACATTTTCTTCCAAATCCCCGTTTAGGAAAGCCGTCTTTACATCCATTTGATGCAACTCCAAATCATAGTGGGCTACAAGTGCCATTATAATTCTGAAGGAATCTTTACATGAGACTGGAGAAAACGTCTCATTGTAATCAATCCCTTCTCTTTGCGTGAAGCCTTTCGCCACAAGTCACGCTTTAAATCTTTCTATATTCCCTTGGGAGTCAAATTTCGTTTTGTAGACCCATTTACAGCCTACTGTTTTGGCTCCTTTAGAAATATTTTCTAGGTCCCAAACTTTATTGGTACTCATTGATTTCAATTCATCTTCCATGGCCTTAAGCCACTTTGATGAGTGGTCGCTTCTCATGGCTTCTTCAAATGAGGTGGGATCATCCCCCATCTGACATTCTTCTGTTTCATAAACTTCATAGTCATCAGTAATAGCTGATCGTCTTATTCTTTGAGACCTTCTAGGTGCCTCCGGCACTTGTTCCACATTTGGCTGTTGTTGTTCTTCCTCATGTGCAATATTTGGTTCTATAGGTTCCTCAAGGATAGGTTCCTCAAGGACAGGTTCCTCATGTTCATTCATTGTCGCCACGGGAGAACTTGCAGCAGGTGTTGGCACTACTGAGTGTCCTCTTTGTCGGTCTGCAAGCAAAGCAGCGAGTAAGCGTGAAGAATGGTTCTTCAACCATCGGAGTGGGTACATGTACTCGCTTCTCCACATAGGCTGATTTCTCGTGCTATCATGCTCCCCGATCATGTTGTCCTCCAAGAACACAGCGTGTCTTGTTTCTATAATCTTCGTATGTCCATCGGGACAATAGAAGCGATATCCTTCGATCTTTACGGATAGCCAATAAAATGGCGGTGGCCGACCGCCTTGGAGTCTAACTTTCCTATGTTCGGGTTAAACACTTTTGCCTCAAATTGGACAGCCCCACACACGCAAATGGTTAAGTGAGGGTTCCTTCCGTCCATAATTCATACGGTGTTTTAGGCACCGATTTACTTGGTACTCGATTAAGTATGTGAATGGCGGTTTTCAATTGCCTCCATCCATAAACTAATCGGTAATGTGGAGTAACTCATCATGCTTCTTACCATATCCATTAAGGTGCAGTTACGTCTTTCGACCCACTCCATTCTGCCGAGGCTCTCCCGTGTGAGTCTTGAGCAACTATGCCATTTTCCTGTAGGAACCTTGCGAATGGTCCAGGAATTTGGCCATATGGGGTATGTCGCCCATAGTACTCTCCACCTCGGTCTGATCGTACTACCTTAATTTTCTTATTGTGCTGATTTTCAACTTCACTTTAAATATTTTGAATTTATCCAATGCTTCCGATCTTTCTTTAATTGGATAAATATTGCCATAACGAGTAGTAGTCACATGAATGTTATAAACGAGTCATAACCATCCACACTTTTCACAGGAAAAGGACCACATATATCTGTGTGGATTATTTCTAAAATTCCTGTGCTTCGTTTGGCGTCTTTCTTAATTTTCTTGACATACTTTCCTTTGATGCAATCAATACATTGCTCTAAATCTGAAAATTCTAAGTGCGAGAGAATTGATTCCTTAACCAATCGTTCCATTCTCCCCCTCGAAATATGGCCCAAGTGACAATGCCATAATTTCGAAGAGACGATATCAATTCTCTTTAAACTTCTTAGTTACATCCGCAGATGGGGAATCATTCACATTCTCATCACATACATTGTTCGCATTCTCAAAGAAGAGATAATAAATAAAGCTTGTCTTGTCGGAAGGCAAGACCAACACATTTATTATTAACCAGTATCTTACACTTGTCATCACTAAAATGGCAATCAATTCCATCATCATCAAGTTTCAAAACACTTATCAAATTTCTACGCAAAGAGGGAACATAAAGTACTTCTTTAAGTCTAAGTACAAAACCATTATTCAATTCTAAAGAAAAATCTCCAATGGCTTTCAACATTGGCTTGCAGTCCATTTGCAACTTTAATCGTTCTTTCTCCTCTTTGCAAGGTTTTCGTCCCCACTTAACCCTCAGAAAGAATTTGCAACATGAGTAGTTGCTCTTGAATCAACCCACCAAGTGGATTTATCATAACATAAATACAGAGATTCATCTACAAATGTAATAAATTCATCACCTTTCTTTAGCGAGATTTCGGTGAAGTCCGGACAATCCCTCTTGTAGTGTCCTTTCTTGAAGCGAAGCTTGCTTGCAATCATCTTTTTTCGCTCCACCATACTGCTTGATTCTCGAGAATCCTGGGGTTTCTTTCCTGTGAACTGGAGGAAGAGGTCTTATCCCACTTAGGTTTCCCTTGTGGTTTAGAATTCTTGCCATTAAAGTTCTTTCTTTTGTTGTCCTTCACAAAATGAGCAGATTCACCTTGTGAGGACTTTATCCTCTCCTCTTTTTGAGCACACATTGAGATGAGTCTTTCTATGCCCCATCTTTCAGTTGCATATTATAGTTCACAATGAAAGTGTCATATTCTTTTGGCAAAGAAGCAAAAATCAAATGAATCAGAAATCCTCCTCCTTCAAATTCATTTCTTTTAGCTTGGATGCGTAGTGTTCATCTTCAAAATGTGCTCTCTTATGCTACCACCAAAGTGAATTTCTCATTCACAAGCTTCTTAATCGATGAACTTGTTTGTGGTCTTGGTAGACCCGATGAACCTCTTGATTTTCTCAAGATATTCTTTAGCGATAGCACATTGTGGATTGAGCCCTATCTACATTCTTCTATGGTGGCTTTGGCTACCAATGAGCACTTCTTGATTTGGAGAGAGTCCATTGCCTATGTTCAAGGTCATATTTCATTCTTATTTCAAAGATGATCACGCTTTCGAAAG